CATTTTAGCTTGTGGTCTCTGTCTATGCTCTCAAAGTAAGATTTTAACCTCTTAGCCTCTTTTGATGTCTACTGTTGCAAATATAGCATGTCCGTAACTGAGAACCGTAACAAGATGGACCAAGCCCATTAAAATTTGCATTTCTCCATGTACTCAATATCTAAAAGCAATAATCTGCACTTAAAAAGAAATTTAAAAAAAACAACAACAAACAAGCATTCAGCTAGCTAGCCATCATAAAAAAGCATAATAGGCATTTTCATTAGCTTTTTAAAAAAAAAAAGAAAAAGAAAGAAAAAGAAAAACACTAAAAGTTAGACCCAGTGTCATGCAGTGATGGAGAATCTCCAAAATAAAGGTCCATTCATGGAAGCCAAACAGTCAAACAAACACAGTTTTAGATCAGCTTTATAAGCTTTAGCTTAGCTTCATTAGCTAGCCAAAAAAAACTAACAACTAAAAAACACAGTAGGAACCAGCTAACTACACTAAATGGACAAAGTACTGGTACATTACACATGTAATGCATGCTTTCAAAACTGTACGTAAAGGCAGACTGTGTGGCTGGATGCATGATTTTATACAAATGTAGTGTGTTCGAACAGTTTTGTCCACGTAGCGTAGCTTACTACCTAAAGTAACTGAACATCAAGGCTAAGGCACATTTTCTGGTTGATTATTTCTGCTTTTAACTTTAAATACACATAACAACAGAAAAAAATCATGTTAACTTTATGTGAATAAAGCTCAACAGCTGCGTCTGTTAAATCTGTGGCTATTACTTTCATTCCTCAAAAAAATCCAAAACGGTGTGGTGTGCTGACTGGCTTGGAATACATCTGTTAAAAACCCTGTTAAAAAAAACAAAAATCAAACTATTGCTGGAAGCCAAGCTTTTAATAATCAACTGATGGTATTAGACTTTGGCAAATACCTGCAGCTCTGTCCTAATATTTACCAGATATGGAGAGTTTATCCTACATCAGCTCCAATCTGTTTCAAGTTAGGATTTTCTATATACAGCAGTTGATATTTTCTCATCTGAGTTTAGTGTGGAATATGATACAAATAATTATGCCAATCAAATACAGAGTTTTTTTCAGTATATCTTAATATTTAATTTTAAAACGTGTTAATGTCTCCTTTCTTGGCATGCATTACATTCATGTGAAAAAAGTGTAGACACAAACAGAATCTAAATGAAGCTCCAATTTTATTGTTTAAAAGATTACTCAAAGACTCAAAGCAGATTTGCCAATTTTATATTCATATTTTTGTTTAAAATTTATTACCACCACACCAAACCTGACATGGCCTGTTATATGTGTTAAGTAATGAAAATGATCTTAATCACAAAAAAATTACAACCTCCCGCTACCTGTAGTCTCTTCTGCTAATACCATTTGTGCTAGTCTCCAGAGAGAAACGGTGCCTGCGCTGCTCTTCCCGCCACACTGATGCCAATTGACTGAGGTAGCTGTCCGCACGGTGCAATGAGAGCCAATTGACTCCTGACCCAACGTGTAACAAAGCACTGCCTCCCAGTGTTCCTGAATCAATATGGCCGCGTTGCATCAAAGCAGAGCCCTCAGATTGGCTCCTCCTGCGCTGACCTTCCCGAGAACCCACATGTATATCGACTGGTCAGGGAGGAGGAAACGGGCAAGTCCCGGTCGGTTCCTACAGTTAATGCTCCATGCATACAAACAGTTGGGGGCAACTCAGAAGCTTTTTGTGGATACCCATTTTCATAGCTACAGTCTTACAGTCTTCTGAACATCTGGATTTAGAATATATTCTTCTTGACATACTTTTTACATTTTGTAGCGTGGTAAGAAATCTCCGTTCTCACTGCACTAAAGTGGAGCTGAACCGTCTACTTTAAAACTCCATTAGGGAAATTATCGGTGCAAAGATACATCCTATTTCACAACATACTTCATACCGTGTACATTATAACATACCATAATAGACCCATTTCTGTAATATACTTACATATCTATATTATTGCTAATATATATTGTAATATATCTATATCACTAAGCACTTCTGGATGGATGCAAACTGCATTTCGTTGCCCTGTACCTGTGCATGTGCAATGACAATAAAGTTGAATTCTAATTCTAATTCTAAATCACACACTGATGCTATAGTGGAAGATGTGTTATACTGCAGAGCTTCTCTGTATCCTCAAATGAACATCCCCATCATCATCATCGCCGTCATCATCATCAGGAAGTGAAAAATCAAAGCACCAATGACAAACAGAACCTTTGAAGTGCTAGGAGCTTATCTTCCAGCACAGCATCACAGACTGAATGTTGTGCAAAAGATAATCAACTTTATGCACTCGATTAGCATTACCTTGGAGGACTTATGGATATTCAGGGAAGCTTATTCACATTTAACGCCAAGACCACTGACTATCCTTAAAGCCAGATCTTGCATATACATAAGCCATACCATCACAGGAGTGCCACATTTTCTTCCTGTGTGTGCATGCACATCACATATTGACAAAAACTCACCGATTTCACACTCTTAAAAAGATTACTCCGTAGCCTACACATGCCCAGAAACTCTACAAGGTCTCTTAAAAGAGGCCAAATAAAACTTCTGTTTGTGCCTTTTTACAAATGATAAGTTGAACTCATAAGCAGTAAAACACACCATTTCTTAACTGCTGCCTCGGCCTTGGGAAGTGCACAGGTATAACTGCACACGCTGTACATTGTTGTTGTTGTTTTATAATCCCACTGCTGAGGTCTGAGCAATAAATCAAATTTTATTTTCCATCACCAGCTTGGATTCGAGTAATGAATAAAACAAAATGAAATTGAGATTAAAAACAATTATTATTCTTTATTTCTTTAGCAATGATGTGTTTTCTTGTTTTGTGCGTTGTTGTAAATCCACCCCACTTCTCTCCTTTACTGAGGTGCTCTTTTGCCCACACTAAAAGCACAGATTCAATCACTGTGTAGTTCAGACTGGGCCATGATAACAGCGGTCAGCGTGGTTTATCTAGAGAAAGTAAAGTCAGCCTTGCACGCCATTGCCCTGGCCATGACTACATGTTTTAAGACTAACGTAAGGAAAGTCTTTGTATGACTTCTGTCTTCTAGGTGGTCAAGGGGACAAGCTTTAGGATCCAACAACAAAACCAATACAAACACAAGTACCCGCATCACAGTTTATTCCATGTATTTTTCACATAGCTACAACACGTGGTCAGTAAAGCTCTGCATAGCATCTACGGGCTACCATGTTGGGACCTTCATGTGCAGGTTTCTTAAGAGACACCTTCACTGTCAAAAACGCCCCCAAGTCCTGGCTTAGTGCTCGACCGGACGGCCCTGTGCCTTCCACTGCATCAACCTTATTTTTTACATTTATTTACTTAGTTTGCATTCAAAATTAATCCCAAAGTTCATGGAAATCCACTGTTAAGAAGGTAAAAATGTTCAAGTTCAATAACGTGTGATGCTTCGAAAGCCAACCTATGTAAATTACCAGTAATCTCAAGACTGACCACAGCTGTCTTTATTTGCCAAAGTAAACACTCTAAAGTACTTAATACCAGGTCATATGTCATTCAATAGGATTCCTCATTGGTAGCCGTTTCACTTGCTTGCCAGGAAATTGCTCCCTTCACATTATCAGCAGTTATTTTGCCCTTAGCTGCAGAATGATATTTACATCCCGTAGCCTCTGGTCGGCAGCTCACTCTGAATCATTTCAAGTGTGGATGCAGCTTAAAGCCCAGAAGTTTGAAGTATGACAAGCAGCGAAAAGTAAAAAAACAAACAAAAACAAAACAGGAATAACATTTGACATCTCAGTTTAGGTAAAAATGGACCAAATGGGAGTAGATCCTAATTTCCAGGTGGCCAACCCTTTCTCTAAGTTTGATGAAACCAGGCTTGGATTGGAACTACTTGGTAATGGACTGGTTTGGTAACACCATTCACTCACATTCACACATTCCTAAGTGCTTTTATTCCAACACCGAGGGGCAACTAGGGGTTCAGTGTTATGCCCAACGATACTGTGACATGCAGACTGTAGCAGCCAGAGTTCAAACCATGAACCTTCCAATGAGATAGAGATAGAAAGATAGATGACCTGCTCTACCGATACCTCAGTACATGTTTTTCTTTGTTCAGTTTGAAGCATATAAAAATATCCCACAAGCAACATTTTTCATTTTCTTTCGCAACATGCAGTTGAAAATAGCCGTGTGAGTCATAGAACTCATGCATATACGCTTTACACTTCCTCTGCTGGTGCTCAACAGAGTTAATTGATAAAATAGGTCTGGCTGTGGAGGCGTCCAAAGACAGATCTTTAGCCAAGGGATGAAAAAAAGCACATCTACATGTCAAAATATTCTGGATAACTAATGAAATTGATGCATATCTGTGTTGCAGCAATCCACCTAGACACAATAAATCGACCTGGCCTAGCAGGCTGGGCACTAAATAAAAACATTACAGTTTATTTTTGTGCACTGAGGAGGAGTAACTGTGCTGTCCTTTGTAACAGTGAGTCTTTTCTAAAAAGAACATTTTATGAATTTTGAAATTGTTACATAATGAAGAAAGCTGAAAGAATATCACATGAACTGACCAGGCACTAGACATAGTGTACAGTTTATGATTATAACAAAGAAAAGAAAATCAGCTAATCGGTGTAGATTCAGTGCATTAAAATCCAAGAGAACTAGCATGTTTGATCTACTACTGTCGACCACTGTCCCTTTAAGGTGCAGCTAGTCTCCTCCCATATGCTTACACAACACATCTGACTTGAAAACATCTTCACAGAAATCAAATCAATACTTGCAGAGGTGGAGTGTAATGTCGAAAACAGAGCGGTACTCCTCTGTTCTCTGTAGGTCTACATTCATTGACGACTATCTTTAGTAGCTATTATTGATTTGCAAGATGTAAATTTCATTTTAAAATGACTGGACTGTTGCCGGGGGTGTCACCACTCACCGTCCGCTCCTCGATAAAGCAAACTCCACTCCCTCCCTTTGGAAAGGCATCAGGCGGTGCAGGAGCTTGTGAGGAAGGCCTGACAGTTGCTCCGACCATCTTGTATCACAGCAAGAGGCCTGTAGGCCATTATCATCCATTTCCATTAGCAAGTCCTCATCAGTTTCTCAGTACTTGCTCAGTCGGCTCCAATTTGAATCTGGAGGACAAAAAAAAAATTAAAAAAAATTGTTAAACCAAAATGTACATGGATTAGCATCTATTGCACAACAGATTTAGTTTAGCACTCTGACTGCTGATTTTGTAGTAATGGTGAGTAACTTTCCCCTGCAGCCTTGGTAGCATTGACAGGAATATCATTATTAAATGCTGGATGATGAAGCACGGTGATAGTAAAAGTTGCCTATCTCAGCCACCTCCAGTCACAACACAACAACACCTCTGTGTTGCCTCATCATTCGGGTCAGTCCTGGAAGTGTCTGCTGCCATATGTAATCACAGCCACCGAGACAGGCACACCAGCGACCCAACAAAACTATGACTGTGGCTAAGAAGAACTACTAAGCACAGAAAGTTGGCACTACTTGCGCTTAAGAGCAGAAGGAAGGTCTATCATTCATGTCTATTGGTATGTAGCTGGTTGGTATCACATGAAAGGAATGACCACTGTGCAACTGAGTGTGCAAATGAAAAGTGAAAAAACTTTTCATTTCATACCATGAGGGTATTTTGGGCCAAATATTCAGATTCTTTTGTGCAAATATTAAAAAAAGAAAGAAAGAATACTCTGGAAACAGGCCTGGAAGACATATCAAACAAAAAGACAAGTTAGGGGCTGAGGCCTGCCAAAGTAGCAGCCAAACACTCCATGTACCGGTGGGCAGATCCATCCAAGTACTGATAGCTTCAATGCCAATGCGGGTATCAGTATTGGATCAATAGCGCGATCGGATCGGTACTTTGTTCCCAAGTCCAGTATGTAGCCCACTGAATTGTGTTAAATAAATCATAATAATTATAATAAATTATAAATAAATCAATGAAAAAATGTGTTAACCTTTTTGTGTGTTACATGTATTTTTACAGCCTATAGCACATGTAAACAACAGAATCAATCAGAATCCTGTAGTGGTTATTAAAATGTGTTCAGAATTTGGCAAATTGAGGATGATTCAGCTCATAAATCATGACATACTGCTCCCCTACATAAGCTGCCTTTATAGGTTAAAGGTATTAGTATAGGTATCAGCAATATTGGCCAAATATTTACTTGGTATCGTATCGGCACCAAAACGCAGCATTAGCGCACAGCACTAACCCGTTAAAAACTTCAGCGAGTCTGTAGCATCCTTAGCTAGAGCTAGTAGAGGACACAGGAAGTTGTGATACTGCCTATAGAAATAAAAGCACCACCTAATTAGTTACATTAGTTACACTCCTCGCTGCTCTGCTGCTTCCTAGCTATTCTGTAACTAGATATTGTTATTAAGCTTTTATGTTTACCGTGTTCACATATAACCACATGCTTCTAGCACAAGCACCCATTTATTGCTATCCTGTAATGAACTCAAGAGAAATTTAGTCACATGGCAGAAGTGTTAGCAAAAAACCCAAAACAATACAAAAAGAATTAAATAAATACATGAACGTATTTTCGGTTGATTTATATATGTAAGGTTTCTACCTAGTGATAGTGCGCAATGACGCGAAGCAATAAACAGCAGACTGAACTAAAAGGCCAGGATGGTTTCGCGGCAAATTCAAGGTACACTCGGTTTATATCACCCGGCATCCGCTACACTTAAGTACCGGTGACTATCCCGTGTAACTTCCTAGCACTTGTTTAATTAAATCGCAACTCGACTGACGGTGTGAAAACACATATTTGTTTGGGGATGTGTGAAGGAAAATGACGAAACTGTCTGAGAAACTGCTTGTCTGATTCCTGGCACAAGTTAATTAAAACAACAACAACAACCACCACTAAACGTGACATATTTTCAACACCCTGCGTGTCGAGCGTGAGGAGCTGACGCAGTCAGCCTGCTGCTGGACGCTGCCTCTTCACTCTGCCACAAACACTAGCTACTTCACCCTCGGTGGAGACAACAGCGCCTGTTCACCGATTGTAAACCGAAGCGGTAAGGCAACGTAAGATATTTGCAGTATCCTGTCCTGCATTTACTGGTTTGCGACAAATAATGTTAAGTGGGTAGTTGTAATCATGCAACACGGACTAGTTACCAGTAAGCACCTCTCTTTGCTGGAGTGAGAACGCTCAGGTCGCCGGTGTTTGGCCGTTCTCAAGCGTTAGCAAGTCACGGTGCCAGGTAAGAGTCGTTAGCTTAGCCCCGACAGGATTCAACGCCAAATGTAGCTCCGTTTGCTCCCGTGCTCCTCGGCTAAAGCACACACCTCGTAACCAGAAACCACATCTGAACTGTAAGCAGACACACTTCAATTCGGCGTTCGTCCACAAAACCAAACAGCCGTTGTTAAATTACAGGGTATTATTCAATAACTTTTAGGCCTGCTTCGACTGTGTCTGTCCTAGTAATCTGCCGCAATGGGTGGTTGACTGACGCTGTTAACCAGTTGAATAAATTAAGCTTTAATTGAATTGTTGAACTGCTTGGCTGGATATTTCGTTGGCCGAATTTTAGTCCCAATAATTTTTTTTACCAGAGCAAAACGTTTCATTCTGTCTGGGGTTTGTAGGTTTGCCGATACAAAGGTAACATTAAATTACCAGGTTTGTAATGGAGCTCGGTGTGACAAAGTCGATGTTGCAAAACTGATTGTTTGGCTGAATCTGATTAAATCAGAGTAATCAATTAGCAGAGTAAATGCGTTTGTTTTGAATTGATTCTTCCAACCTTCCTCTGTGCTTTGACTCGTGTCTTGGTTTATAGGCTGGGAGCAGAGAAAAACAACTCCCGTTATTATTAGTGAATTACACATATGGTTGAGCGGTTTAGCTAGAGATAACCTTGGAGTCTAACAAAAAGGATCTAAAAAGGTTGATTTTGTATTCAAATAAGAGTTCATTCATGTAATTTGGTAGTGTAACTCTTGATTCAAATTCACTCAGAAGTCTGAATATGACTAATGATAATGAATGAACGCACTGAAGTAAAGCAGTTTAGTAAAGCTCTATTATTCTTGTAAGAGGACAGTACATCCTGATTTGAACTTGTAAAAGGCAACCAATCAGACATCCAATAACCCAGTTTGGTAGTTGCTTAATAAGTAAGCTATAACCATAATAATTCAGATGCACACAGTTATCGCTTCATTGACTTAAAGAGACAGAAATGGCCATAAAAGCCTCCAAGTTGCCACCAATGAGGCTGAGCGTCATGATAGTATCATTTTCATTACAGTACCAGTGGAGCCTGGTGGGCAGAGAGTGGATGCTGGTTCAGTCCCTGCGGCTGCTGTTTCCCAGAGTGGAGATGTTGTGCTGTGCAGCAACGTGCTCCATATTGTATCACATTAACATTCCCTTATGCTGAATTATTACCATAATTGATTTGGAGATCTTTCAGTTGGTTTTTGCTGTGCTAGAGCGATAAATTTAAGACGTTTTTACCGGCTTGGTGAGTGCACACATTAAGATCACCGCTCAGATTCTCTCTTATGACTGCCTGCGTTCCCCTCGAGGCTTAAAATAAATGCTAATAATTGTTTGCCAAAACAGTTTCACCCGCCGGCTGCTCAGGCCACAGCAGCCCACTGCTCTGTTGACCATTCATTACGCAGGTTTAGGCCATATTCGGAGCTGATGACATTATCCGATATTGAGGTTGAGGTTGCCGTGTAATAGCTTTCATCAAAGATGTGGCCCCGATGACTAAATAATTCATCGCCTTCCAGGGAAGTGGAAAAAAAACCTCTCATTCCTATAATATTTGGCTTGAGCCATTAAATAATTCATCCCCTCGATCCATAAATTGTTTGTTCAATTGGTGACCTTTTCATGGGATTAAGAAAGCACAATAATAAATTCTTCAGAGACCTGGCATAACGAATGGTACAATTATGAGGCAGGATTGGATCGGATCGTTTGTCGCAGCCTGCTGTTGGTTGCTAAGTGACAGCAGGAACTTTTCCGCCCACTGTGTTTGCTCCTAAAAGTCTGAGTGACTGAAAGGACAAAAACAATCACATTATGGCAGTCTAGACTTCGGCTGCGCATAGGACCTGTTTGTGACTTCCCGTGTCTTTGACAGCCTGTCAGTCACTTAGTGATGAAAGTGTCTCATGAAGTAGATTATATTCACCATGCAGCTATTAGCATCCCCTCTTCTTTGCATGTACAGAGGACAGAAGAACTTTCTTTACTTAATAAAATAACAAAGCAGATGGAGGAGGCCCTAATTGTTTTTCCTGTTAACCCTCAGAAGTTATGAAAGGCAGGCTCAAAATGGAAGCTCTTAAGGGCGATTTGTAATCATGCGCACTGCGCAGCCTGAATTCTACCTTCACAACTCTTATGTTCTAGATCCAAAGATTTATGGTTTTCTACTGCATTAATTTTCTGTCTTATTTGCAACAATATTGTATTTAATTGTTAAATTTGGTATTTTCTTTGTATATTTTTTCACTATTTCACCGTTATATAACATCCCTAACTGGAATAGGTGGCACTCGCAGGGATCATTTTGTGCCAAAGAATAGTCATGTGAGGCGTGAATCGCCCCTTTTTATGTCACAGACCCTAAAGCAAAGAGCCCGGTTTAGTAAAAGAAATTTGATAACAACTGTTTGATAACCGTTATCTCTCACAGGGGTTTTCGGTTTTGTCAAGCCAGCTAACGCAAAGGAAACCTGGCTGGGCGTACTATAAACTTACTTCATAGTATACCCCTCAGGTAAAGCTAGCAAGTCACAAGTCTGCCACAGTTATGTGCTGTCCTTTGAA